AGCCACTGAGGGCACTCGTGGTCGTCGAGTCAGTTGTCTCCACTCCGACCGTGGGGGCGAGTTTCGCTCCGGCATTCTCGGCGGATTCTGCGGCGAACAGGGCATCACCCAGTCCTGGACGCTGCCAGAGTCCCCACAGCAGAATGGGGTTGCTGAGCGCCGCATAGGCTTGGTCATGGACATCGCCCGCACGTCCATGATCCATGCCCGTGCGCCCCATTTTCTGTGGCCCCACGCGGTTCGCTACGCCGCACACCAGCTGAACCTCCAGCCGCGTGTCTCGCGGCCCGAGGCTTCACCGACCAGTCTTCGGACTGGTTCCCCTGGTGTCGGGTCGGCCTTTCGAGTCTGGGGCTGCCTTGCTCTTGTTCGCGACACCTCCGCGGACAAGCTCTCGGCACGCGCCGTCCCCTGTGTCTTCCTTGGTTTCCCAGTGGACTCTGCCGACTGGTCCTTTTACCACCCTCCCCTCCACCAGTTCCTAGACTCCCGTGACGTCCGGTTTGACGAGTCCGTGTCCTACTACACCCGGTACCCCTGTCGAGGTCTCCCGGTACCCCCTCCCCCTCTTTTCCTTGCACCCTCTCCTCCTCCTGCTCCCGCTCCTCCGGTACCCCCGCCCCCCCCTGGTCCTGCCCCGTCTGGTGTGTCCCACGTTACCCCCCTACCCTCGGTCGCGCGTCAGGTAGCGTCTCCCTCCCCGCAGTCCTCCTCACAGTCCCCTCAGCAGCCTTCGGCACTTCCGCGACAGGTTACTGTGGACTCGGTTGGTGTTGGAGCTAGAGGTGCAGCCACTGGCGGTGCTCGGTCTGGGGGTACTCAGTCGTGGGGTGCTGGAGCTGGAGGTGCTGGCGCAGGTGGCGCTAGCTCTGGGGGTGCTGGAGCTGGAGGTGCTGGCGCAGGTGGCGCTAGCTCTGGGGGTGCTGGAGCTGGAGGTGCTGGCACTGGTGGTGCTAGTTCTGGGGGTGCAGGAGCTGGAGGTACTGGCACTTGCGGTGCTAGTTCTGGGGGTGCTGGAGTTGGAGGTCCTGGCACTGGAGGTGCTGGTTCCGGGGGTGCTGAGTCTGAGGAGTCTGACCCTGGTTCTGCGGAGTCCACTCCGCCTCCCCACCGCCACGACACACGACTTCAGGCTGCCCGCCGGCGTGAGCAGCAGGAGCGGTTGGAGAGGGAGCGGCAGGAGCTGCGGGTGCTGGACCTTCTGGAGCAGCAGCGGCAGCAGCAGCAGCAGCAGCAGCAGCAGCAGCAGCAGCAGCAGCAGCAGCAGCAGCAGCAGCACCAGCAGCCGCAGCAGCAGCCGCAGCCGCAGCCGCCGCCGCAGCAGCAGCAGACGCAGCCGCCACCGCAGCTTCCTCTAGAGCGGCAGTTGTTCCCACCTATGAGTGGCCTGCGGGCCCTTGGCTTTTCCTCCTCTCCTCCTGTCCGCTCCCAGTCTCCTCCTATGTTTGTTCCTCCGTTGCCTCCTCCTGACGACCGTCCGGCGGTCTGGTCTTCTCCTCCTCCCCAGTCTCCTCCTCCTTCGGTCCGTCGAGACTTGGTCACTCGTTGTCCTCCGCGTACACGTCACTCGTCCCCTGTTACTGACCTCCACACTGCCCTACTTTGTACGTCTCGTCGTCGTTCTCCTTCTCCTGTGTCCGTTCTCCCGTCTCCTCCTCCGTCCTCTCTCCCAGCCCTCCCCACTCCTATCACTGACTACTACCGCACTGTTCGTCCTGTTGCCACCCGTGTGGTGCCAGCTCCTCCCTACCGTCCTCTGTCCGTCGGGGGTGAGTTTGCCCTTGGCTGTGACGTCCTAGAGGACAGAGAGTCTGAGCTGGAGTACTGGGCAGCCGCTTCTCCCTCTGTGTGTGCCATGCTGCTCTCCCCTGAGGGAGACCCCGACGCCCTTGACATACCGACTCCTCGCACTTACCGCGAGGCAGTGTCAGGGGCGTGGGCCTCTCAGTGGAAAGCGTCTATGGACTCAGAGTTGGCGTCTTGGAGATCCACAGGCACCTACGTCGACGCAGTTCCCCCTCCCAGGGCGAACGTAGTGGATGACATGTGGCTCTTCAAGGTGAAGCGGCCGCCTGGAGCACCGCCGGTGTTCAAGGCGAGCAACGTGGCTAGGGGCTTCAGTCAGCGTGAGGGAGTTGACTTCTTCCAGACCTTCGCCCCGACCCCGAAGATGACTACTCTTCGGGTGTTACTCGACATAGCAGCGCAGCGAGACTACGAGCTGCACTCCCTCGACTTCTCCACTGCGTTCCTCCAGGGCCGACTGCACGAGGAGATCTGGCTGCGCCGTCCTCCTGGCTTCACTGACACCTTCCCACCTGGGACCCAGTGGAGCCTGAGGCGACCAGTCTACGGTCTCCGCCAGTCGCCCCGTGAGTGGCACGACACTCTTCGCTCCACGCTTCGTGACCTTGGGTTCAGCCCGTCCTCCGCCGACCCGTCGCTGTTTGTTCGAGCGGGTTCTATTCCCTTCTTTATCCTTGTCTACGTCGACGACTTGGTGTTTGCTACAGCAGACAGGGCAGCCCTGGCTCAGGTGAAGTCCGAACTGCAGAAGAGACACAAGTGCACTGACCTGGGTGAGCTGCAGCGTTACCTTGGCTTGCAGATCACCCGGGACAGAGCCGCTCGCACCATCACACTGACGCAGTCACACATGGTGCAGCAGGTCCTTCGGCGGTTCGACTTCCAGTTCTCCACCACACAGCCCACTCCTCTTGCTGTTGACCACAGACTCACTGGCCCCTTTCCCGACGAGCCTTTTGAGTCCAGTGGTCCCTACGCAGAGCTGGTGGGCTGCCTCATGTACCTGATGACTTGTACTCGGCCGGACCTCGCCTTTCCCCTCAGCGTCCTCTCTCGCTTTGTTGCGACTGGGAGACACCGTCCTGTCCACTGGACAGCTGCTGTGAGGGTGGCGAAGTACCTGGCGACTACATCAGGCATGGGGCTTGTGCTTGGAGGGACTCAGCCAGTGGCGTTGACTGGTCACTGCGACTCTTCCTACGCTGACGACGTGGAGACTCAGCGTTCGACTCAGGGTTACTGCTTCAGTCTGGGAGCTGGTGCTGTGTCGTGGAGGTCTACACGGTCGTCGTCTGTGTGCAGAGGCAGAGATCTACGCTGGTGCCATGGCGGCACAGGAGCTTCGCTGGTTGACCTTCTTGCTCGCCGACCTTGGTGAGCGGCCTCGCTCTGCACCGACCTTGTACGCTGACAACAAGGCCATGATCCTCCTGTCTCGAGAGCCTCGACTGGAGAGCAGAGTGAAGCATATTGACGTGAGGTACTTCCTCCTGCGAGAGCTGCAGCGACGCGGCCAGGCACGCCTGGACTTTGTGGCCTCAGAGGCCAACACTGCAGACGTCTTCACCAAGGCCTTGGCGCTTGGTGACCACCACAGGTTCTATGTGCAGTTGGGGCTTGTTGAGGTAGGCCCTAGGTTGCTGTAGTCCTGTTGCTTTCTCTGCTTGTTGTGCTTTGTATTTATATGCTAGTGAACTCTTGAACTGGCCTTGTGGCCGCTTGCTTGTGCTCGGAATTTGTGTGGTGTCCTTGAGATCCACCCTGAGCTTGTCTTGGTTCTTGCTTTGACTGGTCTAGTGACCGTTTGTTCACCTTGCTTGCTTTGATGCCCCTCACTTAGCCTATGGGGGTGTGTCAAATGTTGAACATTGATATGATAGGCTGTAGTGAGTTGCACTGCAGGGGGTACAGTTTCTAGGGTTGCTTATTCGTTTCTATTCCAGACATTCCGTTGCGTTCACTGTTTGAGATGACGGATGTTATCACCGGTGGGTGGTCTCTGTTGGTGAAATTCCAACGTCGTAGGCGGGTGCGAGACTGTCAGAATCTAAACCACTAACCACTGGGATAAAAGGGCTTGTTTGTATAGTGAGTGCGCCCATAACCCCCCAGGCCAACATGCCTGTAACCCTTCCCTAGGATCAATCGGGGATCTCTAGTGGACCTCTGATACCCCCCCGCACTGGGATGGCCGAGGTGCACACACTGGGATTCGAACCCGAGACCTTCGCTCTGATACCATGTTATAATCCTAACCACTAACCACTGGGATAAAAGGGCTTGTTTGTGTAGCGGGTGAGTGCGCCCAGGCCAACGTGCATGTAACCCTTCCCTAGGATCAATCGGGGATCTCCAGTGGACCTCTGACAAAGACATGCTAGTGGTCCGTGGACGGTGCCGATGTCGAGGCTTGTCTGACACATCGGGGTGAAGCTCTTTGGCTTCTGGTTTGGCAACAAGGCAACGCCATTTCTTGGACGGGAGCGACATCGTTCAGTCTAGTGACTGAAGATCTTGCAGTGTTTGCAGTAATGTTGTCGGGAGAGAGAGAGTGTCGTGACGTTGCTTCCTGTTAGAGCAGAAGGCGATCCTTTCGCGCTGTGCAAAGAACAAACCAACCCTTTGCAAGAGAGCCGTCTCATATACTTCTAAGCTTTTAGTGCTGGTGCTGGGTGGGTTTTGAATGACAAACTTTAGAGTTGTTCCGTCGGCGATGTCGTTTTTCCATGTCCGACGATCGAAGTGCTAGGCAAAATTTGCCATGACAAGGTGAAATGAATGTTTATAACGACCACACGTTAGCGATACACTTTCGTAACCAGCGAGTCACCTCCATGAAGTCAGGGCTGACGTGGGGGCAATTTCGTTTCACGAGGGGAAGCAGATAGGATAGACCAGCGTTAGCTCAGGCAGTACGATGATGCCACGTCACAATGCGCGAATTAGTCGCGAAATCCTCGGAGCAAGTAGCATCATCCATCGGGGTTGGCTGAGCACCTCGCTCCGCTGCCCTCGGGAGTTGGGGCAACCGCAGGGAGGACCCGCCAGGAGCCTCGCGCGATTCCACACGGGTCCCAGCATCGCTCCTGCCTCCCTCATATCCTGTCAGTCTGCAGTTTGGAAGAGCCAAGCCAAGCTCTCCAACCAACCCTCCTGTGTTCGAAGTGTGCCACTCTAGCCTTCCACTAGCAACCATGGCTGCCGTGGCATCTTCGTCCGCTGTCCTCAGGAGCTCGTTCCTTGGCCAGAATGTGGTCGCTCCCCGCGTGGAGTCCGGCTCCCGCACGGTGATGACCCTCGGCAAGAAGAAGGCCGCTACTGCCAAGAAGGCTGCTGCGCCTGCTTCCCCCATTGATGCCGAGCTGGCCAAGTGGTATGGTGAGTATGAGCAGCGGCCATCCGACCAGTCAAGAATTTCAAGGTTTAGCCTTCGATTTTTCCTAGCAGTTGATTAACAACCACGTCGGTATTGCAGGCCCCGACCGCAGGACCTACCTCCCCGAGGGTCTCCTCGACAAGTCTGACATCCCGTCGTACCTGACTGGCGAGGTTCCCGGCGAGTAAGCACCAGCCCCTTACCCTACGTGCAGTCCTAATTGTAGCTTCATGGTTGCTTTCGCCTCCGCAATTTCCTCGTGCTAACGGTCCTTTCCCTCTACAATTTCGTGCTATCCAGCTATGGCTACGATCCCCTGGGTCTGAGCAAGAAGCCCGCCGACTTCGAGAAGTACCGCGCCAACGAGGTGATCCACGGTCGCTGGGCCATGCTCGGTGCCGCCGGCTTCATCCTGCCCGAGGCGTTCAACAAGTACGTGCCCGGCGTGTGCGGCCCCGAGGCTGTGTGGTTCAAGACCGGTGCTCTCCTTCTCGACGGTGACAGCATCCAGTACCTGGGTGCCACCATCCCCGTCAACCTGGCTATCGCCACCATCGCCGAGGTCGTCCTCGTCGGCGGTGCTGAGTTCTTCCGCGGCAAGAACGCCTCTCCCCTCGGCACCGTGAGTACATGACCAGAATAACCCATCGTCGCTTCGTTGCCGCTGTGCATTCACCTGGTTCTAAATGGTCGTGTCTCTCGGCTGTTTTCTGTTTTACATTTCAGGACCTCGACACCCTGTACCCCGGCGGATCCTTCGACCCCCTTGGCCTCGCCTCGGACCCCGACACCCTGGCCGTGCTCAAGGTGAAGGAGCTGAAGAATGGCCGTCTCGCTATGTTCTCGATGCTCGGATTCTTCATCCAGGCCAAGGTCACCGGTGAGGGCCCAGTGGAGAACCTGACCACCCACTTGAGCGACCCCTTCGGCAACAACCTTCTGACCTCGCTCGGCTCTGCCGCGGACCGTGTGCCCACCTTGTAAGGTGGAGATTTCAGTCTTCTAGCCGTATTTACAATGAGCGCGTATGCGCGATTTTGATGTAAAGGTCTTACGGTGATAATGTGAAAAGCTTCAACCACCATGACTTTCTATAGACGGCAAAAGACAGCTGACTAATTTCGAACAAGATTTAATATCGAAAAATATTTCCTTAGTGACTGAATTATGAAATATGCTGGCTGTTAGTTCTAAACCGCTATCTACCAACTATAAACAGAAGTTAGTTTCATAATTATGCTAGTAGCTGGGGTGCCATAGCGTGGAGGTAATGTTGCAGAATGAGCGTCACTCACATGCATATTTTATGCAGAATAAATACAGGGTTGTCTGAGACTCCCCATACCTTAGTACCAGAAACTTGTGTTTATACAAGAGTTTGTGTGCAGGGTTGCTTTTCAACACTTACCGTAACCCAGATCCATTTTTCAATCGCGTACAGTCTTTCTACTTCGCCTGGCCTTGAGATTCCTGGTCAGCATGGCTGATCCCAGTGGAATGGCTTTCCTGTGACAAGCTCTCACACAGACTAGGTTACCAAGTTTCTTGACGCGCTCAGTCGCGGGTGATCTACGTGGTGAATTTACTGCGTCTTCTTCCTGCCTTCAGCTTTCTCACCATACACCTTCTCACCGCTCCGTACCGAATCCCGTTTCCGTGCAATCCTCCACCGCTTTCCCTTCGTCATACCTTGGCCCACACTAATCCGCTCACCTGGCGAAATCGAGATTCGTCCAGACTCCCTCGTCCTCTGCTTTCTTCCCGATCATCTCATATGTTCATACGGAGTACGGACCCATCCTTGGAACTCATTTCACACACCAACCTTCCGCAGAGCCCCATGCGGTCCCCCGCGTGCGGCGCAAGCGGAGCAGGTTCCGCTGCGGGTGCAGATCCTGGGGAACGGGGGAGCGCAGAGGCGCGGGGAGACGGGGCTACCCTGGGGGTAGCGAGAGAAAGGGGAGGCGCGGAAGCCGTGATGGGGGAGGGGAGCGGGGAGGGGGACGGGGAGGTGGCGCAAGCCCGCGCAGGGGGAGATGCGGACGGGGGAAGGGGGAACATGGCGGGGGAAAGGGGGGAACGCGCAGCGGAAGCGCAATGCGAAGCGGAGAGAGGGGGCGGCGCTGGAGGTGGGGTAGAGACGGGAGGTCGAGAGGAAGGAGAGACAGGGCCGGTGCGGGAGGGGGAGGGGGAGAGGAACGGGGAAGGAAGGGGAGCGGGAGCGGGATCGCGAGCGGAGGCGGAGGCGGAGGCGGAGGCGGGAGCGGAAGAGGATCTGTCGACGATAGACCCGTGCCATATCATCAGGCTCATCCGCACACTGCTGGAGGAGGCGGGGGGGGGAGATGCGGAGGGCAGGGGAGGGGGAGGCGGGGCAGAGGGGGCAGAGGCGGTAAGCGAGGGAGGGAGGGGTGGGAGGGGAACAGGCGGGGAGGGCGGAGTGCGGGGAGAAGCGGAAGAAGCAGGGGGGGTTGGAATGGACGAGGGTGGGGAGGCGGGGGCGGGGGAGGCGGGTGTGCGTGCTGGAAGGGGGAGAGAGGGAGAGAGGGGGATCGCAGGTGGGGAGGTGAGAGAAAACGGGTTGAGAGGTGAAGGTAGAAGCGGTGGTGGTGGTGGTGGTGGTGGTGATGATGATGACGATGGGAGGGGGAAGGAGGGCGCATGGGAGGGGGAGGGAGGAGGCGCGAGGGAGGGCGGCGAGGGGAGGAGGGAGGAGGCAGGGTGTGTGCTGTGGGACCTGGCGGCTAGTGAGGAACATGCAGAGCTTATGGTGGGTGCTCCATACTTGCAGACGCGTGTGTACTGTCTGTGTGAATGGCGTGACCTGACTGTCTACCATTCTACCACTCTACCATCCTAACAGAGTAGCATGGATGGTAGAGTGGTAGAATGGTAGAATGGCGTGAGTGACCTGACTGGTAACCGTCGTATTCTTTAGAGGTACAGCCTGCTCAATTCAAATATGAGGCGTGGATGGTGGGCACATGCACACATCTAAGCTCCATGCAGATTCGCTGTGCGGTGCGGGTTGACACGCTGAGTTGAGTCATTGCGTTGCGACGGATGTGCACGCCCTTGCCATGGGCGCGTGCGCATGGTTGCCCATGCCATGTCATGCCAATGCCAACTCATGCTACGCCATGCCATGTTGTTGGTGGCATGTGTGCGTGCATGGCAGGTGCGCAGCCATGTACTGGACGTGGTTCTCTCTGTGCTCGCCTCTCCTTCATCACCACGACTCAAGGTCTGCCCTGCACGTCACTGCCCTGCCCTGCCCTGCCCTGCACCACTACATGCCCGCGCTTCCCATGCCTGCATTGCCTCACTCACTCACACTCCCATGTGCACCCACAAAGGATGCAGCCAGCACGCGTCTTGCTCCCGCACTACTTATTTTCCCGCTTCTGTTCATGATTGCTCGTGCCTTTGCAGCTGCGTGCACTGTATCCGTGTGGTATTCACAATAGCTTCCTCGACCTACTTTCTACTTTGTACATCTCCGTGCAAGCATTTAGCTATTGCATCTCAGAGCTCTAGGCATCAGATCCCGTTGTACCATCTCGCGTTCTCTCTCATACCCCCCCCCTCTTCTGTCTCTCGCTGCGTGCCTCCCCTCCAATACACTACTCTCCGTCGCCTCACTTCACCCCTGTTCTCGCCCATGCTCACCGCCACTCACTCATTGCTCCCTTATTCGTCTCAACCCATTCACCACGCATTCCCATCCCTCCCCTGTCCACGTCTCCCGCCCACGCCCTACACCACTCCCCCACACCCTGGTCAGGAGATCTGCATGGGGCTGCTTGCCAACCTGGCATGCCACGTGGCGCCAGCACACAGCATGGCTGCCATGGGCATGGGCGGCAGCGACAGTGCGGCGCCCAGCAGCATGATGCATGCGGTGGTGGGGGTGCTGATGGGGGAGGACGACCCCCCCTGCCTCACTGAGACCTGCCGGTATGCCTCATACGTGTGTCGTAATGGTGAATGGTGAATGGTGAATGCGAGAGGGTCAATCCATGGTCAATGGTCAATGCCAGTGTGTCGCCTTCCCTTTGCAATGAGTGTAACCGTGTGCACCCATTCCCACGACTCGCACGCCAGGCTGTTAGGCACGGTGCTGCGCGGTGCAGAGTCAGAGGCATGGGCGACATTCCTGGCAGGCTCTGCTCCTGACTGCCTGCCGCGGGTGCTCTGGATCGCTGCCAACACCCTGCACCCACAACTGCTGCGCAAGGTACGCGGTGGGTGGTGTGGAGTGGGGTATGTTGGGATGGCTGTGATGTGGTGGAGTGCGGTGAGGTGGGGTGGGGTGGGGTGTGGCATGGCAAGATATGGTGTGGTTTGATGTGACATGACTCTTTGTCTCAGCCGTGAACGGCTTGTTTCGGGGGCGCATAGATGCACTACTGTCATTTCAAATATGTCTGTACTTCAGATTAGCAGTTTACACCAGGCATTCATTCTCAAGACCAACCAACTCTGAAAGAACCGTGATCCCAGTGTTATTCAACTCGAATGAATCACCACTGTGGAATTTTCTACCCGCCAGCTTGTCTGGTGACTTGTCTTGCCTGTACCTAATTGAAACGCAACAGTCGCCATCAGTAAACGTTCCCGGTTCACCATCGTCTTCACCAACCCCCCAACCATGCACACACACAGTGCACGGATCTGCTGCTGGCAATGGTGGATTCCTCCCACCTGCCATCATGCGTGCTGCTCTGCTCCTCTTGAGCTGACGCAAAAATCCATCCTTCTGAGTCAACTGAACCCCATCCACCCCCCCCACCCCCTTTCCCACTCCCTCCCACCCTTTGCAGTGCACGGATCTGCTACTGGCAATGGTGGACTCCTCCCACCCGGCATCACGCGTGCTGCTGCCTGCGCTGCTCGCCCTGCCTCTGCTCTCCACCCTCGCCGACCTCATTGCCTCTGAGATGGACCGACTCGCAGACGGCTCCAGAGATGAGTGAGAACTCGCACTGGCACCGCTCCACACCGCTGCACCTCTTATTCCATGCCCCCTGCCCCTCCACCACGCGCTCATTTTTTTGTTCCCCTCTCTTCTTTCTCAACCACCAACACCTACGTGGCACTTTCACCTGCCCGTCTCCCCTTCCCCCTCTCCGTCCCCCCTCTCCCCCCCCCTTCCCCTCCCTCCCTTCCTCTAGCCGCTGCACTACACTTCACTCCCTGTAATAATCCAAAATGCACACTGCCGATTGTAATCCTCATAGGATGGTAAGAGGAGATGCCAAAAAGATGTGCCTGAATGAAGTCGCACGAATGTCTTGTTCTTTTATCTGTGATGCAGAACCAATCCCACCCGTCCATCCGACCCATCCCATCCGACCCATCCCATCCCACACGTGCCGCCCACCAGTGACGACATCCTGGATGCGCTCCTGCAAGTGCCTGAAGCCATCTATCTCAAGGATCCAGGCTCAAAATGGAGTAGCAGCAAACCCACCCCATACCGCCCACTCCATCCCCCCCATCCCATCCCATCCCACCCCATGCCGCCCACCAGTGAAGACATCCTGGATGCGCTCCTGCAAGTGCCTGAAGCCATCTCTCTCGCGCCCGGCCCTCCCTCCGCCCTCCTCGCCGCCCATCCCCACATGCTCCCCCTCGCTGTCTCTGTCGTCGCCTCGGCTCCATCCCATGCTGTGAGTCTGCTGTGCCGTGATATACTCGCACCATGCCCATGCCCATGCCCATGCCCATGCCCATGCCCATGCCCATGCCCATGCACATGCCCATGCCCATGCCCATGCCCATGCCCATGCCCATGCCCATGCACATGCACATGCACATAGCCATGCTTATGCCATGCCACACCTTGCACTGCACTGCAGTCCGATGGTATGCTGTGCACTGCATGTGTACCGCCCGTCTGCTTCGATTCCCCCCATCCCTTGCAGTTTTAGTCGCTCCGTGTCCATGCCAATGCTGAAAAGAAAAAGGTCAAAGGTCACTCTCCTCCCCCATTCTCCTCTCCACATGTCATGGCCTGGTCCTTCCACTCACCTCAAACTCCTTGTACTGCCTCACGTCCCTTCCTCTTTTCCGCTGCCCTCCCTGCCCTGCGCCCTTTCACAACATCACCATGGATGTTCCTGCAGGTGGCGGCAGCAGCAGTGACAGCAGCGGTGCTAGCAGCCAACATCATAGAAGACGACCCCTCTCTCATCCCTCACCTCACTGCAGGTCTGCCCTCGCACCCCGCCCCCTCGCACCCCCGCTCCTTGCATCGCCACCCCTTGCACCTCAGTCCCTTACATGCCTCTCTTTCTTGCATGGGCTCCTCCTGTGTCATGCAGTCTCCGTGACTGCCCATTTGCCGCCTCCATGCTGCTCCTCCATTCGTCCCTGTACCTTGAATTGGATCCGACCATTTTAGAGGTCTGATGCGATTGGAGGTCCGATGCGATTAGAGGTCTGATCGTTGTTGTACCTGATGGGGATGGGTCACCTCCCGTCCTCCTCTTCTCTCCTCGTTAATTACTTTCCCACCTTCTTTCCCCTCCTCCCCCACTCCCTGCACCCCCACCCCATCTACCTTGCCGCACCCCTCTCCACCTCCTTCCCATCTCCTCCGCACCTCGCAGCACCGCAGTTTGTGCCGCGCCTGCTGGGCCTGCTCCCCTTGGTCTCAGACGACGAGGGCGCGCGCACTGCTGCGTGGTCCCTGCTGCACGCCCTCTGCTCCCACGCCCTCGCACGTGGGGGGGAGCCTGCTGGGCGCGAAGCAGGGGAGAGGAGAGATGGGCTTGTGGGGGAGGAGGAGGCGGAGAGAGGGATGGGGGATTGTCCTGAGGGGGGGCAGATGGAGCGGATGCAAGAGGATGAGGGGAGAGGTGAGGGGGAGGTGGGAGGAGCGGAGGGGCAGCAGCAGCAGGCACGTAATGCAGGAATGGCTGAAAGTTCTGATAGAATGGAGGGAGGAGGAGCAACGGTAGCGGCAGCATCGGTGGTTGTGAGCGCAGTGGTGTCAGAGTATGAGAGAATTGTAGATGACTTGCAGGAGCATGAGAGGCAGGAGAGCAGCGTGTGCCTGGGCGAGGGGAGTGGCCGTGACACGAGTGAGAGGGGCGCTGACACAAGCGCGAGGGGCGGTGACAGGAGTGAGAGGGGAGATGACGCGGGCGAGAGGGGTGGTGAGGAAGAGAAGGATGGGCATGTAAATGGAGTGGAGGGGAGGGCAGGGGATGCGGATGTGGATATGGGGGAGGCGGGGATGGGGGTAGGGGAGCAGAGGAGGGACGGCGGAGTGAATGGTGGTTGTGCGGGTGCTGCACTGGGAGCTCACACACAGGGCCACAAGGCAACCGTATGTGTCCGTGTGCTTCCACTCTCCTCCTTTCTTTGTACCTCTTCTTGTCCCTTCTGCTCCCGTCTCTACTCCCCACTTCCTGCCTTTCTTCTAGCTTGCCTTTCTTCTAGCTTGCCTTTCATTTTTCCCAATTTGTAAGCTACTTTGGTGTTAATGCCCTTGGAAGGAAGCAAGACTGTTACTGAGGATTGTTTTCATCCTGATCCCACCACTTACATGCAAACAACTCTATGCAATGCCGTTCCTTGCTGTTAACCCACCCTCTCACTCTCTTGCCTTTGAACACCCAGGTATTGCTGCTAATTCGCCTCCTTGAGCAAGCCACTTCACTCCCCCCACCAGCCCCTAACCACGGGGGCCCTTCATCAATGGTAGCAGCGGCCCCACAGGCACAAGCAGTAGATGCAGCACAGGCTGATTCAAATGCCACTAGAGCAGTATTGCCATCATCACATGCACTCGCACATGCACATTCCATGGTGTTGGAATCCAGCCAGCCCATGTCATCTTTGCACACCCATTTTGGAGGGGATTTGGATCGGGCACGAGCGGCTGTGGCTGCCTTGCGACAATGCATTGGTGTGTGAAATTGTGTGATAGTGCAGAATGCAAATGCCTTCGATTCCGTTCCCATGGGCTACGCTGGTAGCCATTTCACCAGGGATCCCATACGGCTACCAGGGACACGAGTGAAACGATTGGCATACATTGGCACTTCTAGACAGACCCTAGGGAGGGCCTTACAAGTTCATAACGGTAAAGTGGAGTGTACACTAATCATATTCGCCAAAATTGTATACTGTACGCGCTTCAAGACGGGGTTCGGTTGGGGTGTCGAATCCGAAGGTGCTGAGGCGAACGATGAGTGTGGTGCGTCTCGTTTGTACGCGACATCCGCGTGTCTCTTTCGAGATTTAGACGTAGGCGTGTAGTCACACCTGTCACACAAGAAAAATATCCTCCCTTTCAACCAATCCAAGCGATCCGCGCGGAACTGCCAGAAGAAAGCTACCTGCTTTTTCCGGTTCGAATCCAGACCGGCGGCGAGAGGTTCGGTTCGGTTCGGCTCAGCTCGAAAAATATCCTCCCTTTCAACCAATCCAATGCGATGGCACAGCCGTCGCTTTGCCGTTCAAAGGGGATTGGTGGGAAGGTGGGGACGGAGGTTCCCGATGCGGTTGCGAAATTTCGCAACCGCAGGCGCAGAAGTTTCTTGAACGGCATTAAAGCTCGCGTCTCCAATTTCCAAGCGTTTAATACTTGGTTGGGTTTGCAGGGATGGGATTGGGTGACGAACGACGAAATTTGTGACGAGAATGTGAAACAAATAAAGCGAACTCCAAAACAGCCGAGGCCAAGACAAACCAAGGTGGTCAGGTTTGGAATGTGGACGAGCCTAAGGGGACAGGGTTCGCCCAGATCAAGCCCTGAACGACCCACCTCGACGACTACAGCATGTCGCACGAAAACAAAACTGAAGTGTCTCAAACAGAGTGCAAACTCAACCAATTCCAGGGTCCCGTCACTGAGCACCTTCCCAACCGCCACAGAAACAAGGTATGCATTCGAGAGCACGCTATTATTAGGGACGGGCAGAGATAGGTTAGGGATAGGCGAGGTAAGAGTAAGGATGGGCGGAATGAGGGGCGAAAGAGCGGAATGCGATAAGTAATTGCGATATGAGAGCGTCAAGTGCGGAACAAAAATATAAAGGGCGAAATGAGATGACGACGGCGGAACGCGAGTCAGAGAGGCGGAATGGTCCCGCATGACGGGCGGAAATATGTGTATACGGGTTGAATGGGAAGAAAAAGGGAGGAAAGGGAGGATGAAGGGCGGAATGACAATAGGGAGCGCGAAACCGTCGTAGCAACGGCGGAATGAGAGTAGGAACGGCGGAATGAGAAAAGGGACGGCGAAAAAAGAGAAGGGCTTAGTGGAATGAGAGTAGGACCGGTGTAACTAGAGGGTGAACGGCAGAAAAAGACCTTGAACGGCTAGAACCAGTAGATGAACGGCGAAATGAGATGATGAATGGCGGATTATAGTAGGGATGTGCGGAAGGAGTGGATGAATGGCGGCATGGGAGAAGGGATGTGCAGTGTGAACTCGGAATGACGGGCGGAAAGGCGATAGAGGGCGGAATGACGGGCGGAAAGGCGATAGAGGGCGGAATGACGGGCGGAAAGGCGATAGAGGGCGGAATGACGGGCGGAAAGGCGATAGAGGGCGGAATGACGGGCGGAAAGGCGATAGAGGGCGGAATGACGGGCGGAAAGGCGATAGAGGGCGGAATGACGGGCGGAAAGGCGATAGAGGGCGGAATGACGGGCGGAAACGCGATAGAGGGCGGAATGACGGGCGGAAAGGCGATAGAGGGCGGAATGACGGGCGGAAAGGCGATAGAGGGCGGAATGACGGGCGGAAAGGCGATAGAGGGCGGAATGACGGGCGGAAAGGCGATAGAGGGCGGAATGGGAGGGGGAGATGGTGGAAGAGGGCGGAATGACGGGTGAAATGGCGTCATAGTGCGGAATGGGAAGCGGAGTGGCGAGAGAGGGAGGTTTTGCTGGGCTGAAAGGCAGCCCTTGGAAGTAGGCGAGTCGGGATGACATGCGAGGGCAGAAAGGGAGGGGGAAAGGCGGTAGCGGGCGGAATGGGAGGCGGCATGGGAGGCGGACAGGCGGTAGAGGGCGGAATGGGGGGGTGGAATGGCGATAGAGGGCGGAATGGGAGGGGGAAAGGCGGTATAGACCAGAATGAGATGCAAAATGGCGGGTCCGGGAGGAATGAGATGGCTTTACATGTAAGGTTGGGCGAGGCGGAAAGGCATACTGAAATCGAGAACGAAAAACACGTTACGACAGAATGGGAGGCGGAAAGGCGGTAGATGGCGGAATGGGAGGAGGTTTTGTGAGGCGGCGCGAGAGGGGTATAGGGTAGGAGAAGACCACGGAACGAGCTGTTGTCCAATAACGGGGACGGACGTTGCGCTCATGTGGGAAGAGATATATTGCTGTAAGGGGAAAGGAGGAGTGGTGAGTGGGGGAATGGAGGTGGTGCTATAGGGGGAATGGAGGTGAGGAAAGGAACGGAGGTGAGGTGAGAGGGGGGAGGGTTGTAAGGTCGGGGGGGAAAAGGAGGTGAGGTCAGAGGGGGGAGGGATGTCAGGACGGGGGGGGGGGAGGGAGGTTATGCTATAGGGGGAAGGGAGGTGAGTTCAGTGGGGGAAGGGAGGTGAGGTCAGATGGGGAAGGGAGGTGAGGTCAGATGGGGAATGGAGGTAAGGTCAGAGGGGGAAGGGAGGTTATGCCATAAGGGGGAGGGAGGGTGGTTCCGTGGGGGAAGGGAGGTGATGTCAGAGGGGGGAGGGCTGTAAGGTCAGGGGGGGAAGGGACGTGAGGTCAGATGGGAAAGGGAGGTGGGGTCAGAGGGGGGATGGAGGTAACGTCAGAGGGGGGAGGGATGTGAGATCAGAGGGGGGAGGGATGTGAGGTCAGAGGCAGGAGGTAGGTAAGGTCAGAGGTGGGAGGGAGGCAAGGTCAGATTGGGGAGTGATGTGAGGCCAGAGGGGGGAATGGAAGGTGAGGGCAGAGGGTGGAGGGAGGTGAGGTCAGATGGGGGAGGGAGGTATGGTCAGTGGGTGGAGGGAGGTAAGGTCAGAGGGGGGAAGGAGGTAAGGTCAGAGGGGGGAGGGAGGTAAGGTCAGAGGGGGGAGGGAGGTGAGGTCAGTGGGGGGAAGGAGGTAAGGTCAGATGGGGGAGGGAGGTAAGGTCAGAGGGGGGAGGGAGGTGAGGTCAGTGGGGGGAAGGAGGTAAGGTCAGATGGGGGAGGGAGGTAAGGTCAGAGGGGGGAGGGAGGTGAGGTCAGTGGGGGGAAGGAGGTGAGGTCAGAGGGGGGAGGGAGGTAAGGTCAGAGGGGGGAGGGAGGTGAGGTCAGTGGGGGGAAGGAGGTGAGGTCAGAGGGGGGAGGGAGGTAAGGTCAGAGGGGGGAGGGAGGTAAGGTCAGAGGGGGGAAGGAGGTAAGGTCAGAGGGGGGAGGGAGGTGAGGACAGAGGGGGGAGTGAGGTGAGGTCAGTGGGGGGAAGGGAGGTAAGGTCAGATGGGGGAGGGAGGTGAGGTCAGAGGGGGGAGGGAGGTATACGTCAGTATAGGGAAGGAGGTAAGGACAGATGGTGTAGGGAGGTAAAGTCAGATGGGGGAGGGAGGTAAGGTCAGTGGGGGAGGGAGGTAAGGTCAGTGGGGGGAAGGAGGTTAGGTCAGATGGGGGAGGGAGGTAAGGTCAGTGGGGGAGGGAGGTAAGGTCAGTGGGGGGAAGGAGGTTAGGTCAGATGGGGGAGGGAGGTAAGGTAGGATGGGGGAGGGTCGTAAGGTCAGATGGGGGAGGGAGGAGAGGTCAGATGGGGGAGGGAGGTAAGGTCAGTGGGGGGAAGGAGGTAAGGTCAGATGGGGGAGGGAGGTAAGGTCGAATGGGGGAGGGAGGTAAGGTCAGTGGGGGGAAGGAGGTTAGGTCAGATGGGGGAGGGAGGTAAGGTCAGATGGGGGAGGGAGGTGAGGTCGAATGGGGGAAGGAGGTTAGGTCAGTTGGGGGAGGGAGGTAAGGTAGGATGGGGGAGGGAGGTGAGGCCAGATGGGGGAGGGAGGTAAGGTCAGTGGGGGGAAGGAGGTAAGGTCAGATGGGGGAGGGAGGTAAGGTCAGCGCGGGGAAGGAGGTTAGGTCAGTACGGGGGAGGGAGGTAAAGCAGGATGGGGGAGGGAGGTAAGGTCAGATGGGGGAGGGAGGTAAGGTCAGATGGGGGAGGGAGGTAAGGTCAGTGGGGGGAGAGAGGTAAGGTCAGATGGGGGAGAGAGGTTAGGTCAGATGGGGGAGGGAGGTGAGGTCAGATGGGGGAGGGAGGTAAGGTCAGTGGGGGGAAGGAGGTTAGGTCAGATGGGGGAGGGAGGTAAGGTAGGATGGGGGAGGGTCGTAAGGTCAGATGGGGGAGGGAGGAGAGGTCAGATGGGGGAGGGAGGTAAGGTCAGTGGGGGGAGAGAGGTAAGGTCAGTAGGACCTTACCCCCGTCCCCCAATCTCCCATCCCGCCATCCTCTTCGATCACCTCCCTTCCCCGCTCTCTTCCCAACATAACGCCCAGTCATACCTACCTCTGCCCCGTCCTATGTCCTCGTCTCCAGGTCCAAGGAAGATGTATCGGTGGGATTCTCGACGGCGTCGTCGGATCCGGCTGGGGTTCAGGATGGGAGTTGAAGGAGAGGAGGATGACGAGGAGGGTATGGAGGGACAGGCGGGATCAACCTCTTCCGTCCCATCCCGAACCGCAAGGAACAACAATGGTGTACCTGGTCGCTCGGTAGTTGCCAGCAGTTGGCGGCCCGTTGAAAGGGTGACCCGACGTAGGGTTGTACAGCCAACTGGGTTGCCGCCACAGCTTTTTTATCCTAAGGAACGTTGGTCCCTGTCTGAGTTTGCCATCGAATGTCCAAAGCAAAGCTCTGTGCTTGAACAGTGGGCCATAAACGAGCTCGGTCTGGGGCAGGAAAGTGGTGATACGGACGAGAGGGTTACTGTTGAGAGTGTCCTGCATATCTGTCTTGGAAAGAACACGCTGGAGGATGCAGATGGGCAACCAATAGTAGCAAAAAACCACCGTTTCCGTTGCTACGTCGAGTACTCCAAACTGGTAAGAAACCACCCTTTTGCACACGTTACATTGCCATGGCTTGTGTACGTAGTCATAGGGTCACTTTACCCAGAGCTTTCAGATGAAGGTTACGTGGGGTGTAGCCAGGCAGATGTAGACTGGTTCACGTCTTGGACAATCCCTAGTGAGATTGACTTCACCATGCGCAGCCCCCCGGTGGGCGCGGATGTAGCGAACATGGTCGAGACACAAGAGTCGCGTGTTGTGTGAATATGCATGTTGTAATCCTTGTGTGAGTAAATGCTAGCCATCACGTTTGCTAGTGTGTATGCCACTAAATTGTAGCAAAGTTTGCTCTTCGAAGGAGCAAAGAACATGTATCACTACATCATTACACCTAAACCAGTCAACCCATGCTTGATGTGATGCAGGGTACCACCATGGGGACACTTAGACATACGCAGCTCTCTGCAATTCTCTCCCCCTTGATAAGTAGCGCCGTGCGTCGCACTCTCCCCAAACATGTTTACTGTAGCAGCACGAAGCCACATGACAAAGTTGGTTCCACGCGTAATTAAAACTAGCTTAGCAACTGTTTTGCGTGGTTGTAACACTATAACCGTACATGGGTCCGTATTTCGCCAGCGCCCTCTCTCCTACCACACTTTCACCAACGCCGTTCTCTGCTCCCTCTGCTCAGTTGCCGCCAACGCTGCGAGAGGTGATGGCGGGGGGAAAGGGGGGAGATGGCGAAGGGGGAGGTGGGGTCAAAGAGTAGAGTTGGTCATAAGGAGTCCGGGAGGTGAGTATAGAGGGGGCTTGCTGCCGATGGGTCAGACATGAAAGGGTTGGTGGGTCAATTTGGAGGGGGGGGGCGGGGTGCTGCGTGAGGGCAAAGGGGGTTCTGGCAGGGAAGAAATATGTGGTGGCATAGGGGAAAGTATCGTGAGGTCAGATGGGGAAAGGAGGAGAGGTCAAAGGGGGAAAGACGATGGGAAAGAGAAAGGGCGAGATGTTAGCAAAGCGGAAAGGAGGAGAGTTCAGAGGGAGAAAGGAGGAGAGAGCAAACGGGGAAGATAGGTGCGTAGGGGGATGAGGTGGCATGGGGGGACGGCATAGGAGATGGGTTTAGGGGAAAGGGAGGTGCTGAGATGAGGGGAAAGAGAGCACATGGCATGCGGTGCAGAGGGGAGGAGACGAATCGGGGGAAAGGGTGGAGATGGAAAGGACAGAGATGGAAAGGGGAGAATGGAATTTCTGGCAGATGGTGGAAGGGGTGTGAAGGCATGGATGAAGGGTTCACACTGCACAGCAAATAGGATGAATTGAAAGAGGGGGAATGGAGGACAGGCCAGAGAGGGGAGGGAGGAGAGTTCAGCGGGGATGTGTGGTGAGTACAGCGTGGGGAGGGGAGGTGAGTTCATCGGGGGAGGGAAAAGGAGGTGAGGTCAGAGGAGGGAAAGTAGGGTGGTTCTACATATGGAGGGGAGGTGAGATCGGATAGAAAATGAATGTGAGGGAAGGGAGGGGATGAATGTGAGGGCAGAGGGAATGAATGTGAGGGAACGGAGGGAATGAATGTGAGGGAAGGTAGGCAACGAATGGCACGGCAGAGGGAATGAATGTGATGTAAGGAGGGAACGAAGGTGAGGACAAAGGGAATGAATGGGCGGGAAGGGAGGCAACGAATGGCACGGCAGAGGGAATGAATGTGATGTAAGGAGGGAACGAAGGTGAGGACAGAGGGAATGAATGGGCGGGAAGGGAAGGGAGGCAACGAATGGCACGGCAGAGGGAATGAATGTGATGTAAGAAGGGAACGAAGGTGAGGACAGAGGGAATGAATGGGCGGGAAGGGAGGGAATGAATGGGAGGGCAGAGGGTATGAATGTGAGGGAAGGGAGGGAATGAATGTGAGGGCTGAGGGAATGGAACTGAGGGCGGAGGGAATGAATGATGTGGCAGAGGGAATGAATGTGATTGAAGGGAGTGAAAGAATGCGAGGGCAGAGAGTATGAATGTGAGGGAAGGGTTTGAAAGAATGTGAGGGCAGAGGGACTGAATGAGAGGGCATAGAGGGAATGAATGTGATGTAAGAAGGGAACGAAGGTGAGGACAGAGGGAATGAATGGGCGGGAAGGGAGGGAATGAATGGGAGGGCAGAGGGTATGAATGTGAGGGAAGGGAGGGAATGAATGGCACGGGAAGGGAAGGGAGGCAACGAATGGCACGGCAGAGGGAATGAATGTGATGTAAGAAGGGAACGAAGGTGAGGACAGAGGGAATGAATGGGCGGGAAGGGAGGGAATGAATGGGAGGGCAGAGGGTATGAATGTGAGGGAAGGGAGGGAATGAATGTGAGGGCTGAGGGAATGGAACTGAGGGCGGAGGGAATGAATGATGTGGCAGAGGGAATGAATGTGATTGAAGGGAGTGAAAGAATGCGAGGGCAGAGAGTATGAATGTGAGGGAAGGGTTTGAAAGAATGTGAGGGCAGAGGGACTGAATGAGAGGGCATAGAGGGAATGAATGGGTGGGACTTACTATTGGACACCATGCAGGCTCGGTGATCCCCGAGTGAATTTAGGGTCCAAGGTCATGCGTGAAGTCCATAAATCTGTAGTTGGAAAAGAAACGTTCTCAGAGCGATAAAAGAACTAGAGGTTAGCTTTGAACAATAGTAGTGTCATGCCAACAGCATGCCGTAGGTTCATACCGCGAGGGGATTTTGCGTTGCCTTTTGCATTGAGCCCACTCATCTCGTACATTCACTTCATGCTTGCGGTGGGTGGGACGTGACGCCTGAATTGGGGAAGGTATGATCACATAGCACAACGATCAGCAAACACCTTACCAAACAAAATGACATATATGCAACCATATGAACCAAAACAGAACCGTACCGACTACACGCCCCAACACTGACCAAGCGGTAGCGTCCGCCTAACTCGGGAGGGGCGCGCGTTGCTGCGGGTACGACGTCGTGTACGTGCCCCCGTAATGGAATCATTATTGCTTGCAGGGCTCGTGAACACGAATGCATCGGATGTGGGGGTCAGCGGAGAAAATGGCGTGCGTGCCGGAGCGCAACTGCCGGCGCGGGGTGGCGTCGAGGGAAGTCGAATGGGAGTGGAGCTAATATGAGGCGCCTCGTTCTCATCTCCTTCGGATACTCCCAACCTCACTACAGCCTCCTCTGCCATCTCGGGGGCCCCCTCAACTTCTACCACGTCCTCTTCGCCCTCCCCCACCCCGTCATCAGCCTCGTCCTCCACCTCCTCCTCCCCATTCACGTCCCCTTCACCTTGCTCCTCGGATCCTATGCTCCCTGCTTTGCCCCCACACGCCCTGATCTTTCCCCATCGCTCCAAGACCTCATCCACCCAACGCCAATCCATCGGACCAAGCACCCGATCTTTCGTCCCACGCCGCACTCGTGTTACCTTGCGTACGCGTGTCCGCCACTCCCTAACAACCCTCTCCACCGCGTGATTCCAGTGCAGCACACTCAACGCCACCCGAGCCGGCATACTGCCAAGGAACGCTATACGTTTCGGCGCGTACTTCGTGATCAACGAGTGAAATGACTCGTTCATCCAGTTTGATGCACCTAACACGTATGCTGCCATGGGACCTGGCCCACAATGGACGGACAACCACTCTTTGAACGCCTTGTGTGTCGCTGAACCCGGTTCATACAGCGCACTTTCCTCCCCCCAACCTTCCCTAACACAACGTGGGACCACACCATCACGCTGACAACCAGCGTGTATGCCCGCCCAATGGTCTCCGCACCCCCCAATCTCATCAGACACTTCTTGGGGAGTCATTGGATGACCTGCTTCTGCCTTTGTTGCAGCGCGCATCATGCAATGGTGGAAATGAATACAGAAGCGCTGACCAACAGTCACATCGGCCACTTCACCCTCCGTGTCCTCACTGCTACACCCCTCTTGAGCACATTTTCGCTTCCCAGTTTTCCTCTCCTGCCACCTTGGGGTACGACGTGAAGCGGCATTTTCCAACGGTCCAGGCTCCCCCGCCACGCCTTTCTCCCCCAACACTACTGGCTCCCCCGCCACTCCAGGCTCCCTCGCCACTTTAGGCTCCCCCTCTACTCCAGGCTCCTCCGATGAACCACACTCCCTAGTCTCTAGGGCCTCCCCCCCCACTCCAGGCTCGACCCCCACTCCATGCACCCCCCCCACTCCAGGCTCCTTCGCCACTCCAGGCTGCCCCGCCACTCCAGGCTCCCCCGCCACTCCAAGCTCCTCCGCCACTCCAAGCTCCTCCGCCACTCCAAGCTCCTCCGCCACTCCAGGCTCCTCTGATGATTCAGGCACCCCCGACACTCCAGGCTCCGCCGCCACTCCAGGCTTTCCCGCCACTACAGGCTCCCCCGCCTGCCGATCTCGCCCCATCTCTGGATCGCCTGACTCCACTTCGCCTGAATGTGTTCAAGAAAATGTGCAACACATTAGAGACAAAATATTCATTCATCTGCGAAATGGAATTTGCAACTGTTGGAATGCATCAAACTGAATCGTCCCCAATTTCGCACACACATGGCTGATCAGTGTTTTTTTAGCGGACCGCGAACTCACACCTTTCCCCACACCTCCCTTTAGCGTCAACCACTCCCACAACTCCTTCTGTGTGACCGACCACAACTCGGAACATGACTTGGCCTTATCCACTGTCATAGTACCCACTTGTGCCTCCACAAAGGCCTTCACAAACAGTCGTGTCAATGCTCGACCTTTGTGCCACACGTCCATTTGATGGTTGATACCCGTACCAACTAACGCCTTTTTGAATGACCCTCCATCGTCACTTATGATCCCGGTCACATTGAATCCCCACTCTTTCAATTTCGCCAAGCCAAGCTTGAATGCAACCCTTTCTAACTCTGTCGATGACTTTCCCTCTTCTTTTTTGCATACGGTGACAGTCAACAGCATCTTCCGTGACCGTGGATCCATGAAAGTGACAGTGCACCACTGCGCCTCCCTTGCCTGTGACCAACGCCCATCCACGCAAATGTACCCATCCCCCTCTTTGCGCAACTGCATGTCTGCACGGGCTCTAGCCATGCTCTCTTCCCCGTGGACGATGATAGCCTCCCACAAACCGTACGGCTGTCGCATGTAACGATAGAAGGTCTCTTTCCCGATAGACTTAAACCCAAGGGTCCGACTAACCTCCGACAGCTGCTCCCTTCCCCCACCCACAGCATCTCCCTTCCCCCTCTCACAGCTCCTCCCTTCCCCATCTCACAGCATCTCCCTTCCCCCACCCACAGCATCTCCCTTCCCCCTATCACAGCTCCTCCCTTCCCCCTCTCACAGCTCCTCCCTTCCCCCACCCACATCATCTCCCTTCCCCCTATCACAGCTCCTCCCTTCCCCCTCTCACAGCTCCTACCTTCCCCCACCCACAGCATCTCCCTTCCCCCACCCACAGCATCTCCCTTCCCCCTCTCACAGCTCCTCCCTTCCCCCTCTCACAGCTCCTCCCTTCCCCCACCCACATCATCTCCCTTCCCCCTCTCACAGCTCCTCACTTCCCACACACAGCATCTCCATTCCCCATATCACAGCTCGTCCCTTCCCCCTCTCACAGCTCCTCCCTTCCCCCACCCACAGCAGCTCCCTTCCCCCTCTCGCACCTCCTACCTTCCCCCTCTCGCTGCTCCTCCCTTCCCCGTTCCGCCTCTCATTCCGCATCTCAAGCCGCCTCTCCTTCCGCCTCTCATTCCGCCCCTCCTTCCGCATCTCACTCCGCCTCTCGCGTCACCTCTCATTCCGGGTTTCTTTCCGCCCCTCATTACGCCTCTCATTACGCCTCTCATTACGCCTCTCATTACGCCTATCTATTCGCCTCATCCCGCCTCTCAATCCGCCTCTCATCCCGCCTCTCACGCCGCCTCTCGTTCCGCCTCTCGTTCCGCCTCTCATTCCGCCTCTCGTTCCGCCTCTTTTTCCGCCTCTCATTCCGCCTCACATTCCGCCTCTTATTCCGCCTATAATTCCGCCCCTGCTTCCGCACTTCACACCGCCTCTCAGTGCGTCTCTCATTCCGCCGCTCATTCCGCCTCTCACACCAAGTCTAATTCAGCCTCTCATTGCGCCTCTCCTTACTCCGTATTTAGTTTCGCCCCCCGTTACGCCGCTCAAAACGCCTCTCATTAGGCCGTGTAAGGCCACTTATTACACTACAGCCGTTCACTTAGTGCTCGTAAGGGCCTCGTACTGCGCGGGCCTACGATGTCGACGCGATTCTAGGGGCCCACATTTCTGGCGGGGTAATCTCCCGCAAATTGATTAGGCTCACCTAATCAAGGGTCGGGCGTTTGGGCGATGAAAGCCGGTTCGGGGCAGCGCGGCGTGGGCTGTGGATTGTCTAGGGATAGAGATGGCGGTCTATAGTCTATGACAGGTCGCGTTTTTGTCGAATGCGAATGAGATTGTAGCAGTGTAGGTCGTGATGGGCATACGAAGTGTGGGGCATCGAGGTTTTGGGTGAGGCTTTCTAACCACTTTGCGTTCGTCGTGCTCCAGTCGGGGACATGTGTCCAGGGAGGTAAAACACTTGGTGCAGAGTGCCTTTTGAGATATTGACGAGTTCCCAGTCTCATATTTCTGAGCTGTGTAAAATGCTTGGTTTGCAGGGACGAGAGGGCGACGGTCCCGTTGTCGCACGATGAGCGCATTCTCAGCTTTGTTTGTCGCGCAGGTGAGTTTGCCAAGCCAACCTGCTTTGGCGTATTTGCTCACCCAATTACAGTGCACGTTGCAAACCCAAACCACCCCACCCACACTTTCCCGACTCTCAACCCTTGCCTGGGTGTACTTTGCGACAAAGCAGTCTGTTACCCTATATCAAGCGTTTAAAGCGACGGTGCACATTTGCCACCCAAAACCCAGAACCCTGGCGAACTGTTACTGCGGATGGAAAGTGTCCGCACGAAATCCTGGTTTTCGCCAGCCAGCACTTTCGCGCTGGCAAGCCTGGTTCAAAAAAAAAACTTCTGAACCCACTGCCAAAAGTTGCCCGTCGCTTTAACACTTGGATGGAAGGGTGTAATTGGAGACGCGAGCTTTAAGGCCAAACCTCGGAGGTGGGTTCCGCCTCCGTTTCCAGATGCGGTCGCGATGCCGATGCCATCTTTTTCATTTCAAATTACGATTTCCTGGCGAACAGCACCGTTGTCTTGTGTCCAACGTGGTCCGCGGAGGAGCGAGGAACGATGATTCGTGATTCGTGATATCGTCGTCATTGCGTAGCTTCATCATCACACGCGCTGCCCCGCACCGCCATGTCGTGGCCGCTCCTACGGGTTTCCTCCTCTAGCGCGCTCCGCTCTCTCCCGGCCTTCGCTCCGCGAGCGTATTCGCGTCTCGCCACCTTACACGCTTCTCGTTACGTTTGCCTCAGCGTAGCTGCCGTGGACACGTGTCACACCGCCATTGGTCGGTCGAGCTATTTGAGTAGGCCTTTTTGTCCGGTTCTCCGGTTTCCTCCGCAGATCCCGGCGCCGGAAGTGCATTGCGTTCCGATTCGCGGTTACTTGCCGTCGGTCGCCCAGACGAGTCATCGTGCATCGTCTTGCTTCGCGCAGCGACTCTGCGAGTCTGGGCGAAGCGGATTGCGTTCAAGTCGTGTGCGCGGCGAGGGTTCGAATCTCGCCGCCGGCTTTTTCGCCAGGGTATAATCACCTGCTTCCCGACTTGCGCACGTCGATGGATTTAATGAAAGCAGTCGTCCGTAACAGTGCATATATGCGTCGTGCTTTTAGAGACTCGATGATGCGGAATGCGGTATTTCGCATCTGAGACGATGTGATTTGCACTGGGAGCAGATTGATTCGCGATGCATTTTAAATCACAGCGTGTGGAATGGCGCAGACGGTTAGCCACCGCATGCTGTGCGGGACAACACTAGAACCAACACCAGCACCAGCATCACTATCCCAGAAACCCGAAACCTGCGGGCCCGGGTGCGAGGCAAGACTGATAAGAGAATAGTCCCGCTGTGGCTCGGAAAGGCGTGAGAATATTAAAGACGGAAGGAGAGGGAGGAGGGAGGGGGAAAGGGGCTCAGGGTTCCGGGTTTTGGGTTTGGTCGGTGGATCAGGGATGGTTGCTCGTTGATCTGCTTGCTTTCGCCAAGCCGGATCCTCTCTCGTCGCAGGTTTCGTGAATGATATGGCAGTCAGCACGGCAGTTGCCACACGTGGCTGCTCAGCAATTCGTTCAGCGTGAAACCGAAGGGGCCTGTATCTCAAAACGCGGATACGAAGGGACCCGGTAGCAGGCTTCGCGCGCCCGCCCGCCCCTGCTACGTTGCTGCCTGTGGCTCGCTTCGCGTCGTCTCTGGCCTCGTCAATACGCTGCCCCGTTGCCCGCCTCGCTTGTTTGGAGCCGGCTCGGAACACCTCTGGCCTCGTCGATACAGTGCCACATTGCCCGCCTCGCGCCGGCTAGCCCCTCGTGCCCGTGCCTTCCCTTTCAGTCTTTCCCTTCTTTCTCGTGCTTCTCATTCTATCACTCCCTCTCTCCCTCCCACCCCCGTCTTTTCTCCCTCCCTCCCTCCCTCCCTCCCTCGTCCTGTTTCTCGTTGTGTGGACACGTGGCAGACAGCTGGCACCAGCAAGAGGGGGTTCACTAGCAGCAGCGTCAACAGTAGCAGCAGCAGCAGCAGCAGCAGCAGCAGCAGCAGCAACAGAAGTGGTGGTGGTGGGCGCAGCAGAATAGCCAGTCCGATGGCCCTCACACAGGCTACGCCCATGGCTGCCCTGCCGTCTCTTGCCCTCTGGGGACGCTTCGCCACGCCCGTTCCCACCCTCCACACCGCATCCCCCTCCGCCACTTCCTTCCTTCCCCTCAAAAGCCACTGCGCCAGGTCACGTGGTATCAGCACCGCTGCTCGCTGCAGCAGTAGCAGCAGCAGCAGCAGCAGCAGCGGAAACAGCAGCAGCAGCAGCAGCAGGTCTAGTGACAGAAGCGGCATGAGAGGCAGTTCCCCCCCTAGAAGCAGGAGCTATGGCGGCCTGGCTTCTGACGCTGACTCGCCCGCTCCTCCTGCTGCTGCTGCTCCCGCTGCAGTCACTGCTGCGGCGGCGGCTGCGGGTGCTGTTGGTAACGCGAGGCATGCAGGGGAGGGCGCCACAGCGGAGAGGAGACGGAGGAAGAAGGAGAGGGAGGGGAAAAGCGGCGCTGCTTCTCCTGCTGGTCACGGTGCCCGTGCGGGTAGCAAAAGTGCTCGTGGAAGTGGTAAAGGTGGTGATGGCGCTGGTGGTAGCAGTGGTGTGGGTAGAGCAGGGGGTGGTGCGGCCAGCAGCAGCAAGAGTGGGCGTGGCAAGAGGTCAAAAGGCAAAGGGAAGGAAGGAGGTATGACACTGGCGATCTTTGCAACTTTTCCGCTGCTTTCTTGTGTCACATCATGCTCTTTTGTGTGCTCTCCCCTTGCTCATCCATCCCCCACCTTCTCCACCAACCCCCTTCCGTCCGCCCTTTCATGCTCTCTTCCCCCTTTTGCCTTACCCTTTTCCGTCCCCCCCTGCTCGTCCCCCTTGCCCCATTATTTTTCCTTCTTCCTCCCACTTCTCCCTTACTCCTTTTTCTCTTCACTCCCCCCCCTCCCCGTCCCCCTCCCCGCTTTCCCCTTCCCCCTTCCTATCCGCTCCGCCTTACACCCGAGCCCCTGTCCCCCTCCACAGCGCCGGCAGTGGTGCTGCGCGCAGGGCAGCACCCCATGCGCCCGCACCTCATCCCCAGCTTCACCTGGCATGTGCTCCGGGGGCTGCGACGCCACGGTGAGAGACGCTGGGGGGGTGGGAGAGCGGCATGTATGGAGGTAACTTTTGAGTCAACAAGCCGTCTGAGTGGGCAGCTTATAAGTACCTGCTGAGTTCATCCCCAGCTTCACCTGGCACGTGCTCTGGGGGCTGCGACGCCACGGTGAGAGACGCTGGGGGGGTGGGTGGGTGGGTGGGTGGGTGGGTGGGTGGGTGGGTGGGTGGGTGGGTGGGTGGGTGAGTGGGTGGGCGGCATAGGTCACTCATTGACTCACATGGAGTCAACAAGTCATCCGGATGGGCTCCTTGTGGGGTATTTTTGAGAATTCTCAAGGATTCTGGGTCGACTCTTCTGTCAACGAACACAGCTTCACCTGGCACGTGCTCAGAGGGCATTAGACGTCACGGTAAGGCGCGGGGTGGGTGGGAGAGCGGCATGTAGGTGACTTCTGAGTCAATAACCCATCTGAGTGGGCAGCATATAGGTAACTGCTGAGCCCACCTCCCACCCGTCTCTCCCCACCCTCCCACTCCCCACCCAACCACCCCCCCACCCGTGCATGGCAGGGTTCGAGGCGTATCTAGTGGGCGGCAGCATCAGGGACCTGCTGCTGGACGTGCCACCCAAGGACTACGACGTGCTCTCCACCGCCACCACCACTCAGGTGCGCGCTGCTGCTTCTCCCCTCACCGTGACTGCACTGCACTGCACCTCTCTAGGTGACTTGTGAGTCAACTCACAAGCGACCTGCCGCTAGACGTGCCGTGCCCCCCAAGGACTATGACGTGCTCTCCACCGCTACCACCACTTAGGTGTGACTGCGGAGTGGGAGGGGGGGGTGGGGTGGGGTGGGGTGGGGTGGGGTGGGGTGGGGTGGGGTGGGGTGGGGGTGGGGTGGGGTGGGGTGGGGTGGGGCAGCCACCATGCAGGTGCACACGGCACTTGCCACCGTGACTGGTGAGCGGGATAGAGGGTGGGAGGGTGGGGGAGTCACCACGCACGTGTGTGCTTACTGCCTCCTGGATGTGCGGGACAGGGAGGGCAGGGAGGGGACAGGGTGGGTGGGAGGGAGGGTGGGTGTGATGTTGTATTCTGGTATGCTGTGAAGTCACGTGCTTTTGCCCACACTTGCTGAGAAGGTGCGGTGTGGTGTGGTGTGCTTTGTGGTGTCACGTACATGTGCTTTGTGCTTGCCTATCTTGCCGTTATTCACCCCGCTCTGCTCCGACGTGCTCTGTGTGACTACTGGCTTGCCTCTGTCGTCTCCTCTTGCGCTTCTTTTGGTCTCAAAGCCACACCCTGCTCTCGGTTTCTCCCTCGTTCTCTCTGACCCGCACCGCACTACCCCATTCTCCCTCTTCCACCCCGCCACTACCTCTTTTGTCCCCTCTTGCCCTCTCATTCGCTCCCTCCCTCACACTATCCTGCTGCTCCCCCTCGCCCCACCTCGCCCCCCCCACGGTGGTCAGATCCGCAAGTCCTTCCCCAGGGCGCGCATTGTGGGGCGGCGCTTCCCCATCTGCCATGTGATGGTGGGCGGGGAGATCGTTGAGGTGAGGGGGGGGGGGGGGGAGGGGGGGAGGGGGGAGGGGGGAGGGGGGAGGGGGGGAGGGGAGGAGAGGCGGGAGGGGGGAAGGGGTAAAGTTTTGAGAATTCTCCAAAGTTCCCCATCTGCCACGTGATGGTGGGGGGGGAGATCGTTGAGGTGAGGGGGGGGAGGGGGGAGGGGGGAGGGGGGAGGGGGGGAGGGGAGGAGAGGCGGGAGGGGGGAAGGGGTAAAGTTTTGAGAATTCTCCAAAGTTCCCCATCTGCCACGTGATGGTGGGGAGGGAGATCGTTGAGGTGAGGGGGGGGGGGGGGGGGGGAGAGGGGGGGAGGGGGGGAGGGGAGGAGAGGCGGGAGGGGGGGAAGGGGTAAAGTTTTGAGAATGGGAGAGAGTGGGAGTGCAATGGGGAAAGTAACAGCTGCAACACATGCCATGCTCCATGCACCACGCACCACGCACCACACACCATGCACCATGCACCATGTGCCATGTGCCATGCGCCATGCGCCATATACATACCACTTGTCTCCCTCCCCTACATCCTCCTCCGTTGCCATGCCGTGCTGTTCTCCCCCCCGTGCAGGTATCGAGCTTCAAGACCAAGGAGCAGTTACCGCCGAGGCGCAAGAGAACACCAAGACAGCAGCTGAGGATGCCGCCAACCAAGCTGTCTTGGCTCGATGATGACTCTGGGGAGGGCGAGGAGGGGGACGAGGAGGTGGAGGAGGGAGACGATGGTGAGGAGGAGGGTGAGGAGGAGGAGGAGGAGGAGGCGGAGGAGGAAGAAGGAGCGGAGGAGGGGGCGGAAGAAGGGCTGTTGGTGCCGGTGCGACCCCCGCGGGAGATGGTGGAGAGGAAGGAGTGGACTGGCAAGGACTCGGAGCGATGGCTCAATGCTGCCCGCAGAGACTTCACTGTCAATGGGTGCGTGCTCTGTGCTGTGCGAGGTGTGATGGAACCATGTGTGGCGCCATTCTGGTGACAGAACCTGACTGTGCTTCGCCAGAATGGCGCCATTTTGTTGGCGAAATCTGAGCAAGATTGAGCATGCTCGCTCTGCACATACATCAGGCGATGCATTCGAGTGGTCAGTCGGTTTGCACGGGTTGAACCGTCGACGGGCGTGTGATGAAGCTGCGCTGTGTGTGCCCTGGCTCACTTCTGAAATCATATCTGCTTTCTTCATTGCATCTGAACCCTTCCAGTCTCCGTGTCGTATTCTCTCTCATCTCTTTTAATTCCGCTCTCTCTCATGCACTGCCCCGCCCACACTCCCTCCCCCGCCCACATGCATGGTGGGGTGGGGCACATCAGGCTGATGCTGGATCCCTTCAGTGGCACGCTGTACGACTATGTGGGCGCGCTGCATGACATCAAGACCCGCGTGGTGCGCCCTCCCTGCCCGCCTTGCATGCCCTGTTGTTCCATGCCATGCCACGCGATGCTGTGCCGTGCCGGGCCATGCCATGCCATGCCATGCCATGCCATGCCATGCCATGCCATGCCATGCCATGCCGTGCCGTGCCGTACCATGCCGGAATTTCTCGTATGAGCATTGTTTAGCGTGCCGTGGGACACAACGTTTTCATGCATTCAAATGACTGCTTGTGATGTGTTCCGTTTTGCATGTGCCACCTGCCATCCCTGTCTGTCTCTATGCGCGAGTGTGTGCATCCCTGTCTGCACCCAACCCAAGCAAGCATACAAGCAAGCAAGCACGTGTGCATGCATGTGTGTGTCGCATACATACATACCAATGTACCCCTGCCTCATGCGTGTGTGTTCCCACCTCCTCTCTGCATGTGTGTCCCCGAGTCAGCTCAGAACAATACAACCAGCTCTGCCCTCCTTCCTAGATGACCCAGGTTCGTCTCCCTCCGTCACACCTACGTCCCTCCTTCACATCTGCAGTGGTTCTATTTCCACTCGCTGCTTCACATCTGCAGGGCTTTCAGTGACCATCTCTTACAACGCTCTCTGTCGCCGTCCCCCTTCTCACACTCTCCTCGCGCCCTGCCCTACCTTCAACTCCTTTACCTGCCTCTCCTCACCCCATGGATCAGCACGTGCGCTGCGCGCCATCCACATGAGAGGCACTCGAATCAAACTCAAATGAAACTTAAGTGAAAAAAAATCCATACTGAGGAGATTCTGGAGGCGCATTACAAACCTTTCTCCTGTGTGCTCCCCCTTTCCCATCCCATGCAGTGCGTGTGCTGCGCGCCATGCGCATGGCGGCCAAGGCGCGCCTGTCTCTGCATGAGGACATCGTTGCTGCACTGGAGTCGCCCCGCCTCCTCTCCTCCCTCGCGCATGTCAACAAGGTGCGCATGGGGGGCATGTGCAGGGGCGTGTGGTGGGGCACGTGAAGGGGCGTGTGGTGGGGCATGAGGGGGGTTGATATCACACCCCATTGCAGTCGCCCCGCCTCCTCTCCTCCCTCGCCCATGTCAACAAGGTGCGCATGGGGGGCACGCAGGGCATCCGGGGACGGATGGGTTGCACCTGTATGCTTGCTCTCTACCACCCAGGTGCTGGCACTGGCGGATATGACTTTTGAGCCGCCTCAATAGTCGGGAGCAAGGATCAAAATTACGGTAATCGTATTATACGGTCCGTATAATACGGTCGTTTTATACGGTAAATTTTCAAAAAATACGGCGTATTTTTGATAGACTTGTTTTGATGTTTTTTTCCTTCTAACAAGAGAGAGGGGCGGTTGGGGTGAGTGAAGGGTGGGTTGAGTACCTCATTGTGAAGTCTGGGCGTGCTGTGTCGAGTGGGTTGTGGAAAACGGTTGAGATCACGAGGGGTAAGTTGATTGGTTGGGTTGGTTTCGCATCGCGTCTGTTGGGTGTGTCGCGATTGCCAGCGAAAAAGAAATGCGGTGCGCGAAAATCCTGAACGGGCAAAGCGAAACGGGTAAACCTGTGTTTACCGTTCGCCAAATGTTGAAATGTCGCGCCAAGGTTATTTGTACACTTTGCGCTTCGGCGAGTAATGCCAACGAGTTGGCGAAACAGGTAAACTCAACATTCGCCTTCGCCAAATGCCCAAATGTCGCGACTCGAGAAAGTCGTGACATTCGCGACTCGGCAAAATGTCACATTCGTCTGTACGGGTGTGCGAGAAATTTGACTTTGGGAGAAACAGGGGTGGGAAATTTGAGACTTCGATATACACAGACCCGGAATCAAAAATTCGGTCGTAAAATACGACCGTATTTTTGAACCAAACAATAAAAACACACATCCACCGTTTTAAACCGTTTTTTACGGTCGTATAATACGATTCCGTATTATACGGTAAAAAATCAATAATTCGGTCGTAATTTTGAACCTTGGTCGGGAGGGATGGGATGCGCTGATGCACATGCACCTGTGTGCTTTCTCCCAAGCACCCAGGTGCTCGCACTGGCGGATATGGGATCAATCCCCCACACTTCTATCTCCCCTCTCTCCAGCCTCTCCCCTCTCTCCCCCACTCTCCCCACCTGGCTCACCTTCTCTCGTCGCTCCCCCTTATCCCGCATGGGTGGTGGCATCAGGTGCGGTGCGGGTGCAGCAGAAGGTGGCTCTTGCTCTGCTTCTTTCTCTCACGCACCTCCTCTGAGCCTGCCATACGCCTGCTCTGCTCAATCTCTCAGAAGTCCGTTTCCCCTCCTCCCCCAATCTCTCCCCGTTTCCGCTTATCCCGCATGGGTGGTGGCATCAGGTATGGGTGCAGCAGAAGGTGGCGCCTGCTCTGCTTCTTTCTCTCACGCACCTCCTCTGAGCCTGCCGTGCGTCTGCTCTGCTCGCTTCCTCAAAAGTCCTTTCCCTTTCCTCCTCCCCCCATCCCCCCACCACGGTTGGTGCTTGCAGGAGCGGGTGCAGCAGGAGGTGGCGCTGCTGCTCTCATACGGGTCCTCTGAACCCGCCCTGCGCCTGCTCCGTTCAATCTCTCAAAACTCCTTTCCCCTCTCCTCCCCCCGTCCTCCCCTGCACATCAGGAGCGTGTGCAGCAGGAGGTGGCGCTGCTGCTGTCGTACGGGTCCTCTGAGCCCGCCGTCCACTTGCTCTCTGCTCAATTCGTCAAGAGTCCTTTCCCTCTCCTCCCCCCACGTCCCCTCTACGGTTGGTGCTGGCAGGAGCGTGTGCAGCAGGAGGTGGCGTTGCTGCTGTCGTACGGCTCCTCTGAGCAAGCCGTCCGCTTGCTCTGGTCGCACCGCCTCATGCCACTGCTGCTGCCTCTGCACGTAAGGCCATGCGATGTGTGGTGTGGTGTGGTGTGGTGTGATAGTGATGTGTTGTTATTGGATGTGATGTCATGAAATAGAAAGGGTTGCTATGCGTGTTTATACCCCCCATGGCTGTCCCACCACCACCTGTGCCCGTCGTGTCTGCCATTTCCTCCTCCCTGCATTCCTTCTCTTCTCACTCCTTTTGCCCTCGCTGCTTCCCCCCCCGCTCGTTAATTTCTGTATTCCTTTCCTCTGCCAAGTGAAACTCCAAGAATCACACGCCCTTCATTCCCCTTGTTTTACCGATCTCTTACCCTCACACCACTTTTCTCCCTCCTCCCACACTCGCCCCTCCTCTCCCCCACCCGCCTCTCACCCCGCTCATGCCCTTCACTCCCCTAGGTTTGCCACTTGTTTACCCCTCAAACTCCTTCCGTCTCTTTTCTCCCTCTTCCCACACTCGCCCCGCCTCCACCCACCCCACCCGCTCCTCTCCACCCATCCACCAGTCAGCTCGTCTGCTAGATCGCGGTTTCCCAACCTCCCCGGCTGCTGCTGCCACTGCTGACGACCTGCTCTTTGTCAGTACCTGCTGTGCCCTCGTGCCATGCACACATGTACACATGCGCACGTGCATGCATGCACACATGCAGGCAAGCACGAAAGCGCACTCTACTCTCCCATATAGCTTTGCATACGTACACTCATACACTCATGTAGTTCTGTGCATCCACGCAGGCTGCAGTACACTCGAAAGCACTGGTCCGCCCACGCTCGCTGGCACACTCTCATGCACGCGAGTCCCCCGTTCACTCTCATCCACCCATCCACTCGTGCTCACCAATCCACCCGTCCATCCATCCGCCCATCCGCCCATGCACCCACCCACCATGGACACGCCAGGCCATGCTGCGGCAGTTGGATCGCCTCACAGCTCCCAACGCTCCCTGCCGCCAACTCGTCTGGTCAGTTGCTGCTTCGAGCCCATCTCTGTTCAATTGTGCATACTTGCCTTTCCATCCATCCATCCATCCATCCATCCATCCATCCATCCATCCATCCATCCATCCATCCATCCATCCATCCATCCATCCATCCATCCATCCATCCATCCATCCATCCATCCATCCATCCATCCATCCATCCATCCATCCATCCATCCATCCATCCATCCATCCATCCATCCATCCATCCATCCATCCATCCATCCATCCATCCATCCATCCATCCCTCCCTCCGTCCGTCCGTCCGTCCGTCCGTCCGTCCGTCCGTCCGTCCGTCCATCCGTCCTCTCTGTGTGTTTCTGTGCCTAATCCTCCATTTTCCTTCCCCATGCAAGCATCCTGCATTACCCTCCGCCTGTAAACGCTTTCCACTTCCTTACTTCCTCACTCCCTCATTCCCTCATTCCCTCACCCCTCTTCAACTCCCTCCCCCTCCATCCCCCTCCCTCCCACTCATCCGTCCCTCTCAGGGTGACCATCCTATCCCTCTACCTAGCAGCCACGGCCACCACCACACCCCCCGCAGCACTACTAGCAGCAGCGCTGCGCATGCGACGGGGCGGTCTGGAGTGGGACAGAGCAGCAGCGGATGCAGCAGAGGTGGTGCGGAGACTAAGAGCTGGAGAGCCTGTTGATTCGGAGCTGTTGCTGGGGAGTGGGGAAGAGGATGGGGGGAAGAAGGGCAGCAGGGGCAAGAGGAGGACTAAAGGGAAGGGGAAGGGGAGGGAGGAGGAGGGTGCGAGGGACGGGGATGGTGGGGAAGGGGAGGGAGTGGGGGATGGTGAAGGGGAGGAGAGGGGAGCGAGGGAGCGGAGAGCAGAGGAGAGGAGGTTGGTAAAGGAAGCCCAACAGGTATGGTTAAGTACAGCCTGCCAAGGAAGTGGCTTTGGCTGGCATTGGGTGGGAACAGAGCGTCTCGGTTTGTAGATCGAGCATCGAGCATTAAGGCGTTGCACTTGTGTGCTTACTTCTGATTCATTCATTCCATGTTGTCTCCTCCTTCTCCCGCTCCCTCAACCTTTTCCTCCCTCCCCCTCCCCTTCACCCCCCACCCCCCCCGCCCCCTTCCCCTTCCCCTTCCTCCTCCCCCTCCCCCTTCCCCTCCTCCTCCCCCGCGCCCTCTGCCCTCCCCGCCCCCCTGCAGCTACTACCCAGGGCGCTGCGCAGTGTGCTGCAGATGACCCATCCAGGGGAGCTCTCCCGCCACGCACACGCACAGCTCGGCATCTCTCTTCCCGAGCCCGTGTGCCGCTCTCCCTCTCTCCCTCTCCCTCCTCTCTCAGCACTGGTTTGTGTCGATTCGCAACGACTCACATCATCATTCCCAGTTCCCTCTATGCCTTGTAACAAGTTGCTTCCCTTGCACTCTGCCAGTCCCTGGCACCCCATTGTCTCCATCTCCTCATCTAACCCAACCCAAAGCGAACGCCTTACCAAAGCCCCCCCGTTCAATCGTTTTCTCCCTCCCCTCCCCCCAACCCCTCACTCCCACCCCCTCCCCCCTCCTCCTCCTCCTCCCTCCCTCCCTCCCTCCCCTCTCTCCCCACCCCTACTGTCCCTTTGTCCCTTGATTCATCCATCCCATGCCATGTGCATTTCGGCAGGTGCTGGTAACGCGTGCCAGCACGTGTGAAGCAGCGCAGCTGCTGTACCGCTCTATGTCCGGCCGCCAGGTGAAGGACCCGCTCTCCCTCGAATACCTTCTCTCCACCACAGGGCTTGACACTGAGGGTGAGGGTGAGGACGAGGCGGGTGTGAGGCGGAATAAGCAGGCGGGTGGGCGGCACAAGGAGCAGCAGAGGAGGCCGGATGACTGGGGGCCAGGGCAGGTTTCAGCAGAGGTGCTGGATGAGGCGGAGATGTTAGTTTCGTGGGTAATTATCAATTCAGTGCCCTCGATTGTTTAGGGTCTCGGTTGGTGTTGCCGGTATTCCTGACTTGCGCTGTATATAATTCAAGCATACCCTTTCAGTATTTACAGGGCGTACCACCAACCCTCCACTTATCACGTTAGGGAACGACTTGTTTTGCTAGACAATTTGGGTAGGCACAACTAGGAAACCACAAAGAAACCATCAAGGATCCTTTCCAGGCCCTCAGAAGTCAGACTTTTCTCTCTGATTTGCATGCAAAACTCTGAGAATTCAGATTTTTTTTGTAGTGAGCTCTGTTAATATCAGAGCTTTTAGGGCCCCAAATCTGTAATTTTCAGAAAAATGTTAAAGCTGCGGTCTACATTCTAAGTGGTGTTTTTTGGGGGTATTTTTTATGCCCACCCTTTCGTGCGGCCTGATTGTAGAACGAAGTCAGCATGTTTCAGAAACACCGCAGCGACGAACTCAGACAGGAAACACGAATTCAGCCCAACTTCGTGCTGACGCGTGGTTTGGGGGAAGGGTCTGCGGAAGGGCGGGAAACAACCTGGGGAGTTCGGTTTCGGGCGGAAAGAACCCCAACCCCCTCTCTCCACCCCCCTCAACCGTTAGCTTTGCATGAAAGGGGGCTGAGTCCAAAAACGGGTCACCCTGGTTTCAAGTGATAAACTCAGACCTCCCGCTCGTAGTATGTAGACCGCAGCTTTAAGGCTAACTCTGAAATTTCAGAGTTTTCCGGGAGTGTACTCTGATCATTCTGAGTACAAACGCGTTCTTGACTGGTGATTCGGACTTCACGGGTCACAGCAGATTCGCACTGTCAACGCAAAATCGCCTTGACACAGCAAATCCGCACCTTACAGCACAAAAGTTTTGCCCAATCACAGCAAAATCGCCCTGACACTGTCAAATAATTAATATTTGTGTTAACTGCCTGTAGCATAATCTAGTGCAGTCATCCTTCCTATTAGGTGGTGCACCTCTCCTTGTGTTGCCATTCTCCTATTTGTACTGCTCACTCTATAGTGAAACCCCCTTTTTTTTTTGCCAATCCCTCTCGCCATCCTACTCTCGTTCCTAAACCTAGGTTCCATAGTAACCTAGGTTTCTAACATGGTATCAGAGCGGTTCATATCCTAGGACCTGATTTTTTTTTACCATGGGCCCACCACGTTCCTAGTACTCTACTCGCCCGCATGCTGCTGCCCCGTTGCGCCATGGAGGCCCCGTCGCCCCGTCGACCCTGTTGTCATGGCAACGAGCTAGGCGGTTCGCGCCACCCCGTCGCCCCGTCGACCATGCTGTCATGGCGACGAGCTGGGCGGCTCGCGCTGTCCCGTCCCCTCGTCACCTGCCCCGCGCTGCCCCGCCCCCCGTCCCGTTACGAGCAGCCGCAGCCACGCACAGCCGCACGCAGCTGCGTATGGCCGCGTGCAGCCGCGCACAGCCACGCGCAGCCGCGAACGGCCGCGCGCAGCCGCGCCGCTCTCCTGCCCCGCACCTGCTGCTCGTACGCCAGTGAAAGGGGGGGAGGGGGGGGGGGGATGTGGGGGTGGCGCGTGGGTGACGCAGCTCCTGCCGCCGCCCTCCTCACTTGCCCTCTCCCTGTTGCTCGTGCAGCCATGAAGGGGGTGGGGGAAGGGTGTGGGGGTGGCGGGGCTGACACGCCAGCAGCCGTCCCTCCACCTCTCCTCTCCCCCTCCCCCCCCCCCCCTGCTGCTCTCACTGCAGTGGGGTGGGGGGGAGGGTGCAAGGGTGGCGGGGGTGACCAGATAGCGCCAGCCCGCCTCCTCTCTCTTCCTGTCGCCCCTCCTGGGGTGGGGGGGGAGGGGAGGGTAATGGGGGTGGCGGATAGTGGAGGATTGAGGGGGTGGCAGGAGTGAAGTTTCAGCACCAACCGCCCTCCTCCTCCTCTCTCTCCCCTCCCGCTTCTCTCTCTCTCTCTCTCTCTCTCTCTCTCTGCTGCTGTCCGTGCCTTCCCTGACTGCTCTGCCTCTCTCTTGTCACTTCTGCTGCTGTGGGGGGAGGTTTGGGGAGAAGGGGGGAGGTTGAAGGGGGGTGGCCGTCGTGAAGTCTGCAGCTCCAGTCGCCCGTGAGGCGTTGCGCCAGGAGCCTGTGTGCCAGTTGCTCCAGTCGCCCATGGGTCAGTTGCTCTTGCCGGCGAGCAGAGCTAGTTACTCCGGTTGCCCGTGTGCCAGTTGCACCAGTTGTTCGTGCGCCACTCCAGTTTGCGTCGTGTGCTAGCAGCTTCAGCGGCCGCCCACCTCCTCCTCTTCTCTCCTGGTCCGTCCTCCTCACTTGCCCTCTCCTTCTTCCGCTGCACATGATGTACCCCTTCAAGGGGTGTTTCTGCACATGATTATTTGCTGCAGGCAGTTAGGGGGTGCGTCAAATAATTTATATTTGTGTTAACTGCCTGTAGCATAATCTAGTGTAGTCATCCTTCCTATTAGGTGGTGCACCTCTCCTTGTGTTGCCATTCTCCTATTTGTACTGCTCACTCTATAGTGAAACCCCCTTTTCTTTTGGCCAATCCCTCTCGCCATCCTACTCTCGTCCCTAAACCTAGGTTCCATAGTAACCTAGGTTTCTAACAGACACCACAGATTTGCGCCGTCAGAGCACAACAATTTCGCCCAATCACCAAAACAATTCCACTTGACATTGCAGATTCGAAATTTCACACCACAAGATTCGCCCTGACACAAAAATTCGCCCTGTCATAGCATGTTCTCCCGGAAATCCCCTTAGTCTAGCATGTTTCGGTATGAGATGAATGAAACATTGAATACATTTCTAATGAACATTGAATACATTGATTTCGAATGTTCAGACTTGTTTTTTTAGACACTCTGAAATTTCAGCTTTATTTTTATACCAACTCTGAGAGTTTCAGACTAAAACTGTGTACTAGTCTGACGAATCAGACAGGCCAAACACGAATCTGAGGGCCTGGTCCTTTCACCAGCTCCAGGGCCTGTGCTAGGATTTTGGGCATCATGAGCCCTCAGGGCAACTTTTGAAAATTTTCAAGAATGTCTTGATTTGTCAGGGCAAAATTTATGGCCATCCTGAAATTTCAGGGCACCAACAGGAGTTCATCCTGATCTGTCAGGGCAAAAAAATCACAAGACATGAGAGATGTGGAGGGGAAGGCACGATATGAGTGGGAAGCCCGGTGCATGCATGGTACGGTACGATGAGGATGAGGCAAAATCCTCGAGAGGATACAAAACCAGTACACACAACCACCCGCCCCTTCCCCCCTCTCCCCCATCCCCCCCCCCCCCCCCCCCCCCCCCCCCACACCCCTTCCCCTTCTACATACGCGTCAGGGTAGTCCTCGACCTTCGTCCTGATGCTTCAGGGCAAAATCTCACGGCCTTCCTGAAATTTCAGGGCTCAAAAAAAAAAAAATCATGAAGTCACAGGGTAAAATATACCATCATCCTGAAATTGCAGGGAAAATGTCAAAACATGTTTATATAATGTTAGTGATGTTAGGCTGTAGTGGGTTACTCCCTATGGGGTACAACCTTTTGTTAGGGTTGCTACTTGTACCACTCATCCTGCTTTAGTCAATCATTCACTGTTTCCTTATTCTGACAGAAAACTCCTGACACTATCCTGAAATCAGGGTAATCAGTTAATGCATATGTATATGTTGACAATGCATATGTATATGTATATGTTGACACCCCTTACTCTAAGTAAGGGGCAGTCCTTAGAAAATGGGAATCAACTCAGGGCCACACTACTAGCCCAACCTCTAAGACAAACGGTCACAAGGTCTGTCAATAAGTATTACCATATAAAAACATATCAATTACAGTGTACAGAGATCAAGATCCAAGTTGTGTGCAGAGCCGCTGATGAATACGAGCGGGAGCGCCTTACTGAAGATATCAGCGGTGTTGGCCTCTGAGGCCAAGTGTACTACGCGTATCTGGCCGCGCTGCTGCAGCTCATGCAGCAGGAAGTACACCAGCTAATTGTGCTTCACTCTGCCTTCTAGTCTAGGCTCCTGATACTAGAGGATCATGGCCCTGTTATCAGCGAACGGGACCGGGGCAGAGCTAGGCAGTTGACCTAAGTCTGTAAGCAAGAACGTCAGCCAGCGGAGCTCCTGAGCAGCCATAGTGCCAGTGTAGATCTCTACCTCACAGCTGCGTTGTGCCACCGACGACAAGTGACTGGACCTCCACGAGACAGCTCCGGCACCAAGATTGAAGCAATAGCCCTGATAGGACCTGAGAGTCTCGACGTCGTCTGCCCACGACGCGTCTGTGTGTCCCTTAAGTGCAACTGGCTATCATCCTCCGAGCACAAGCCTCATGTCTGATGTACTAGCCGGATAGCGCAATCCACTCTTAGCAGCCAACCAATGTTCAGGTCGGTGTCTCCCAGTCGCAACAAAGCGAGCAAGGATGCTGAGAGGGTATGTGATGTCTGGGCGATTGCAGGTCATCACGTACACGAGGCACCCCGCCAACTCTGCGCACTGACCACCAGGCTCAACAGGAACGTTCAGGTGAGGGGATGAGAGCATATGGTGAACAGATAGAGGAGTGGGTTGTGCAGAGGAGAACAGAAGGCCGAAGTGCTGGAGGATCTGCTGCACCATGTTTGACTGGGTGCGATAATGGTGCGCGCTGCTCTGTCGCTAGTGATCTGCAGGCCAAGATATTGGCACAGCCCACTTAGGTCAGTGCAAGCGTGTCTCCTCAGCAGCTCGACATACGACGAGGCCAGTGTGACTCTGTTTGGAGTAGCAAAGACCAGGTCATCATTGTAGTCTAGGATGTAGAAGAGAGTAGAGCTGGAGCGAACGAAGAGAGATTGGTCAGCAAGGGACGGGAAGAAGCAAAGGTCAGCCGGAGTAGTGGGCAGTGTGTTGTGCCACTTACAAGTAGCCTAACGGGGACTGTTGACGGGCCGTGAAAGGCTTCATTGGGTCCCTAGAGGGACAGGACCCATCGTCAAGCGCGTGAACCTCGTAGTCCCGCTATCTCATGATGTGCATCAGTACCCGA